TGGCTAGTCTAGGATCTGGGTGGCGATCTGTTTCCTAGTTCAGTTTTCACAGTCTTTGGGATACCATTCAGGATAAGAGCCGCATGCAGGTTAGGGTGAATCTAGGAGCTCATAAACAGCTCTGTAGGGTTGTTTTCCCAAATTCTTTCCTCTCCACAATCTCCCTGGGACTTCACAGTTCTTTGGAGTCCCTCTTTTCAATCCTTTGGCAAGAAATCTGAGTCTTTATCTGTCTCTGCTGTCCCCTTCCCGCAACTTCACCCACGTCTGGGGGCCAAGCCGCGGGAAGACCGAGAGAGAAAAAGGGTTATCATTGGACATTTGACCCCACTGTCTTGGGACCGTAGCTATTCGAGACCAGAGAGGAAGTCTCCTCCTTCTGTCAGCATTTTAGGTACTTGACGGCACCACTCCCTCCATTGTCGCCGTTGACTCAGCGGAGGATCGCCTATTGGCAAGGGTGCGAGAGAACAGAGAAAAGGAAAATTGGTGTACTTCCCTACTTTCTCTGAACATTAGAGGGTCTATTTCCCACTCTTCCTGGTGTTCTCTCTGCCATGTCCGTGTCCCCTTCTGGGTTTTGGGCTGCCTTGAGTTCAGTCCATGGCTCCTGGAGGGAAAAAATGGTAAACTCGCTGCCTGTGGCTTTACTTCAAATTCTGGCGCTCTTCCTCCACTAACCTGATACAATTTTCTTAGGGCCCTCAAAGAGCTGATCCACACATTCTTTTCAGGTCTTACGGCTGCATTCAGTGGGAGGAAATGGGTTGAATGTGATTATTCTGTGTTAACTGGAACCAGAACCCTTGTATTGTACAGGTTAGTCTTCATATAGAAATATGTATAGATAATGGAGCATTTTCTTTGCTGTATATTTGTGAATACTTGGGGCAAATCTTTTCATACTCTGAGGTAACCACTTTATCCTATAGATGTTCTTCTAGTAATCGACGGCTTTGGAAGAAATCACACTTAACCTGAGTAGCTTAGGAGTGTCTGGGTGGCTCAGTTGGTTGAACGTCTGACTCTTGATTTCGGTTCAGGTCATGATCTCATGGTCGTGGGATCAAATCCCGTGTTGGGCTCCGTGCTGAGCCTTCTCTCTCTCTATCTCAAAACAAACAAACACACACACACACACACACACACACACACACACACACACACCTTCAGAGCTTAAAATAACACAAACCATTGAATCGATGTAGATTCGGGCATTGATTAGGCTCAGCTAGGTATTTCTTCCTTGGGTGTCTCTCATAGGTTTACAGTAAGATGGTGGCTGGGAATATAAGAATTTGAAGGCTCACTCATTCAGGTGTGGTATTTGGGCTGGGAACACTGAAAAAGCTGCAGTTCCTATGGTGTCTGTCGCTATTGCTGTTATTTTTCCATGGTTTCTCTAGCTGGAGGCTTCAAGGTTGATTTCTTTTTAAACAGTGTCCAGCTTTTTTGAGATATAATTGACATATCACATTGTCCAAGTTTAAGGTGTACACTGTGTCGATCTGATACACTTATATATTTCACTATGGTTGCTACCATGGTGTTAGCTAATACCTCCATCATATCACATAATTACCATTTCTTTTTTTAATTTTTATTTATTTGTTTTGAGAGAGAGTGCGTGTGCACACATGTGAACAGGGGAGGGGAAGAGAGAGAGAGAGGGAGAGAGAGAATCCCAAGCATGCTCTGCACTGTCAGCATGGAGCTCGACACAGGGCTCAATCTTCTGAACCATGAGATCACGACCTGAGCTGAAGTCAAGAGTTGGACACTTTCCCAACTGAGCCACCCGGCTGCCCTATCATTTCTCTTTTTGTGGTGACAATATTTAAGATCTACTCTCTTAGCAACTTTCAAATATACAGTACAGAATTGTTATCTGTAATCACAGCACTGTACATTAGATCCCCAGAACATATTCATCTTACAACTCTAAGCCCCATTTACCTCCCCTCTCAGCCCCTGGTAGCTGAATTTCTACTCTGTTTCTACAAGTTCAGCTTTTTTAGATCCTACCTATAAGTGAGGTCATACAGTATTTTTCTTTCCTTGACATACTTCACTGATTTACAGGCCCTCAAGGGCCATCTGCGCTGCTGCAAATGGCAGAATTTCCTTCCTTCGCATGGCTGAATTTTCCATTGTGTGTGTATATAGCTATATCTTTATATCTCAACCTATCTATCTCTCTATCTATATTACATTTTCTTTAGCCATTCATCTTTTGACAGATGCTTGTTTCCCTATCTTGGCTCTTATGAAGAATGCTGCAATACACATGGGAATGTAGATATAGCTTTGAGATCCTGCTTTCATTTTCTTTGGATAAATATCCAGAGGTAGAATTTCTGGATCATATGGTAGTCCTATTTTTAATTTTTTGACAGACCCCCCCCCCATTTTCCATAGCGCCTGTATCAGTTTACATTCCCACTAACAGTGCACAAGTGTTCCCTTTTCTCCACACCCTCGTCTGCATTTGTTATCCCTTGTCTTTTCGATGGTAGCCTTTCTAACAGGTGTGACAGCTCACTGGGGTCTAGATTTTTCACGTGGCAGCTCAGGGCTCCAGAGTGGAGAGCAAGAGTGTGAGAGTGACTCAGGCAGGAAATAGGATTGTCTTTTATTATGTCGTTTCACAAGTTATGTGGTCTCTATTGCCATTCTATTCTTGGAGGCAGTCACAAGGGTCCACCGAAGTTCAAGGGGGAGGGAACACAGATGCCACCTCTTGATGGGGGCACTGGCAAGGTTCTGGAACGGGCATGTGAAATTAGAAATATGGTTGTGGGCATTTTTTTGGAAGTACGATCTGCTGCAAGTACTCAGAAGTCTGCAGAGGGACGCCTGGGTGGCTCTGTTGGTTGGGTGCCCAACTCTTGGTTTCGGCTCAGGTCATGATCTCACAGTTTCACGAGTTCGAGCCCCACGTCAGGCTCTGTGCTGGCAGCACAGAGCCCGCTTGGGATTTTCTGTCTTCCTCTCTCTCTGCCCCTCCCTCCCTCACGCTGTTTCTGTCTCTCTCAAAAATAAATAAACTTTGGGGCGCCTGGATGGCTCAGTCGGTTGGGCGTCTGACTTCGGCTCAGGTCATGACCTCGCAGCCCGTGGGTTCGAGCCCCGCTTTGGGCTCTGTGCTGACGGCTCAGAGTCTGGCGCCTGCTTCAGATTCTGTGTCTCCTTCTCTCTCTGCCCCTCTCCTGCTCAGTCTCTGTCTCTGTCTCTCAAAATAAAATAAAGACATAAAAAAAATTAAAAAAAATAAACTTAAAAAAAAAAGAAGTCTGCAGAAAGAAGTGCTGTCCTTGACTTACAGGAACCCAAGAAGGTGTAATTTTAAATATTATGATCAATATAACCAGTTTTCAGCAAACCTGGATTTTTGTGAGTCTCCAGAAATTAGTTTTCCTATCGTATAACTTTTTCTGTGACTCTCCAGGTTTTTTAGTGCTTGCAATTTCATTGGGAACCTGTATGGACCTTCAAGGAGTATGGACCTTTGCAGGGGCTGCGTGATAGTCTGGATGAACAGGGGACAATGGTAGCTAAAATCTTGATGGAAGAGATTCCCCTGCTTCAAAGAAGGTACTAAGCCACTTGGCAGTATTCACCCAGAGGGGAACCAGGAAGTCTGCAGTGCTCCAAATATCTTTCCTACCCAATGCCATCCCTACCCTACTTCTATTACGCTTTGTAGTTAAGCATTGCTGTCTTTAATAAATTCTCTTAAAAATGCAAACTCCTCTGGGAGAGAAAACAGGAACAGTTGGTATGGATCTCAGAGTTCAATAAACACTTAGGAGCACAGCATTAGGCACTGGGGAGTCAGTGATTAAAGATTCTATCTCTAGGGGCACCTGGTTTGCTCAGTAGGTAGAGCGTGTGACTCTTAATCTCGGGGTTGTAAGTTCGATCCCCATGTTGGGTGTAGAGATTACTTTAAAAAAATCTTGAGAAAAAAAATTAATCTCTCTTTTCTTCCTTGACCAGGGGAACAAGGTGGATTGAAAATTCTAGTTCCTAAGGAATTGTTCCGGAGTCTCCTCTATTATTTTTTTTTCCAGAGCCGTCCTAAGAATCATCCAAAAACTCCCGGGGCTACCAGAAGGTCAACATAAAAGGCTCACCAGGGTAATCCCCACCCCCAGCCTCTGCTGCTCATCTACCTACCAGGAATGCCAAGTGTTTGGTTTCTTCTGGTTCAACCTTGTTCCCCAAAGAGGGTTAGTTACACAGTGCAGGATAAGAAGTCAGTCTATTCCCCGAGTGGTTAAGGAGATATTTTAATGCTTGCGCCTCATTCCAACCCCTTATCAGTCCTCACTTTGGGACAGACTTGGAGCCGAGGTTTGAGTGTAGCCTGGCAGAGTCTGGAAAGCCCCGAAAACTGGAAGGCACCGTGAGAATCGTGGAAAGAGAGGTGTAGGGGGCAACGTTGTTCCGCGAACCTTCGCTTCCCCCAGGGCCCCCTCTTTCCTTGGCTCGGGGCAGCCACCCACCGGCCTGAGATCGAACACTTGGCGGTGGCCCGGGAGACAGGACTCCAGACCGCGCGGCCGCGCGTATCCAAGCCGATGCTCCTGCCAGCCACCGGCGACCTCTGGCGTCGCGTTTAGGAAGCGCGGCGGCGACAGCCCAGGAACGGCCCCGCGACCTCGGACGGCCTGGCCAGGTGCGCCAGGACCGGGTGAGGCGCGCAGGGAGGCAAGGGGCCCGCGGCCCGGCGCCCCGAGTCTCACGGCCCCAACGCAGTCGGCCTCGGGGGCCGGGAGGCCGCTCGGCTCCGCGCGGCGCGGCTGGGGGCCGAACAGGTGCGCGGGCGGGGGGCGGTGCTTGGGGATCCTGCGCACTGCGCGCGCCCCTCCCCCACGCGGTTGCCGGCGCAGCCCCGGCCCGGCGCGCGCGGGGGGGTGGGGGGGGTGGGAGGAGGAGCTGCGGCGGCCGCGGCCACGGCCACTCCGGCAGGTCGGCGGCGCCGCGGGAACCCGCCGACGGCGCGGGCTGCTGGTCCCGGCGCGCAGGAGGCGCGGGCGGCCCTGGGGCCATGGAGTCTGGTGACGCGGCGCGCCTCGGCCCGGGACGGGCGGCCCGGGCGCTGCCACCGCGGCTGCTGCTGCTGCCGCTGCTGCCGCTGCTGCTGGGTCGGGGGCTGCGCGCCGCGGCCTCGGCCTCCTCCTCTGGGGCGGCGGCCGAGGACAGCAGCGCCATGGAGGAGCTCGCCACTGAGAAGGAGGCGGAGGAGAGCCACCGGCAAGACAGCGTGAGCCTGCTCACCTTCATCCTGCTGCTCACGCTCACCATCCTCACCATCTGGCTCTTCAAGCACCGCCGGGTGCGCTTCCTGCACGAGACCGGGCTGGCCATGATCTACGGTGAGCACCCCATGCCGCGCCCACCACCCCGACACCCCTCCGGCGGCCGGGCCGCTGCGCTCCCCCCACCCCGCGCTGCGCTGCGCTCCCCCCTTCCCTTGCCAACGTGTTTCTTTTCCGTTTCCCGCTGCGACGGGGTTGGTTCCCAAGGTCAACTGTCTGCATTTTTTTCTGGCTTTCTATTACCGTTAAGAAAGAATTCCACCCTATTTCGACGTTTCTTCATCGGGGAACCAGGATAATGAAAGGCACAGTGGTGGCCTGGTTCTGTCCACCGGGCTCTGTTTTGCGCTCTCCCCCTCCCTGCATCGCGCTTCCGCACCCGCCTCCCCCCAACCCCCCGCCCGTCCCCGCCCCAGTTCAGCTCCACTGGGTGCGTGTGCCGCGGCGGGGGGTGGGGGGGTGACTTCCCTGGGGACCGCGTCACCCCAGGAGGCAGGCCACAGTGAGGGTGGGGGCGAGGGCTGAGGGTTTCTGGGCTCGAGTTTGGGCGGTGGGGGCCTGATGGATGCACACATCCATGGTCTCAACCCGGGTGGGCGCCCGCTTCTGAGATCTGTGTTCCTGGGTCTCTTGTTAAAGTCGGAGTGTGAAGCGCTGTGAAAGGTGAGCGTGGTCCAGGATCTAGAGTGGTGCACTGCCACAGTCGGGCCTAGGCGGGGACGTGCGCACGCCTCCCACCCGTCCGTCCAGCTGGGACGTTATACCCAGTTACTTGGCTTGTCCAAGCCAAGAGGAGATTCGTGTTCTTCAGATTTTAGCATGGACGTGACTTTGAAGATACGTTTATAAGTGCATGAAGAAGAAACGTAGTGGTTTGAAATCTGGAGTCAGCCGTCTTTTGTTGTGAAGCATGAGCTGCTGCCACCATCTTTTCATGGATTTAATGGCACCTGGTGTGTTACCTGCCGAGTGGTCAGCACGAATCTTCTGTTGTCACGTGGGTGTCAGCTAGCTGTAATCTGAATCATCCCCGGCTTCCCGCCCCGCCCCCATGATGACTCCAAACTAGAACCAAGTATTCTCTTTTTGAATTAAATTCAGTGGAGCTAAGGCCCAGGTTGGCATCCTCATGTGAAATAGTTGAGCCCACTTCATGACTGTTCCCAACAGGGAGCGTTTTACTTCATCACGTTTACCGTAGGGATTGCTCCACTCAATTTCCATTCATGGTTCCCTGATAAAGAACGGAAAGCAGATGCCTTAATCTTTAATGTGAAAATTACCCTTGGCCCTGGGCCTTGCTTCTCAGGGTTCTTGATTGGTGGATGACAGCCCGGGCTGGTGGCTACCAAGGTTACAAAGTGCTGTAGGGAACCCTCTAGTGTTAAAGAGGTGGAGGCCTACATGGATCTTTAACTGAAACGGGACCAGGTCTAAAACCCAGATTTGGTTATTGCAAATTACAGATGTGAACTCAGACTTTGGCCCCGATACCTGGCCATTCTTGGGCTCTGGGGTTTGCGTCCGTGCGTAACAAGTGACTGAGACCAAAGCTGCAGGTAAGCTAGGAGATTTACTGGGCAGGTAGCAGAGTGGGGAGTTGAAGCATATTGTCATTTCGGGTGGCTGGCTCCGAGACGTAATGCCAACGAAGATTACCCTTGCATGTCTGTAGATTACCATGAAGCATCTTTTTATTTTATGGCCTCTAGATCCAATTCATTAAAGCATAGCATGGAATACTTTTAGAAGGTAGATTTGACAGGCTCATGAATACATGTTCAAGCGCAGGGAAAATAAATGAGGATTTAAAAATATTCCTTTCCTGTGGAGTACTCCATGTTCTTAGCGCCATCACCGTTATCTCGAGGCTTACAAACAATGGTGGAATTCGTACTTTCTCAACTCCTTTCGTTTTTTTTTTTTAGCCATTGGGGCCCCTGCTGCAGTGCACTGTTTCATTTTGTGAAACTGACATCTGGCTTAATTGATACTTGTTCAGAAAAGGCAACATCATGTCAAAACATTCTGTGCAATTTTGCTGTGTCTTTGGGTTTTGGTGTTACTTCAAAATATACAAAGATACTTCTTTCTCCAGTATATGATGTCCTAGGTTATATGCCGCATATTGATAGTTTATTTCATGTGGATATCTTGCCTGTAACCGTGAGAAAACATTTCTCCTTGTGGTGGATATTTAGCCTTCTGTTTTAGCACCCTCCTCCCCCCCCTCTGAATTCTAACGTCATTTGATTGGCTAATTGTTCATTATTTCCTGAAGGCTATTGGGATAGGGCTTCTGATTTTTCAGAATTCAGCATGAATATCTTTCAGCACTTAAGTGAATACACGACAGATTTTCAGGACTTCTCTTTGTTAATAATAGTAAGAAAACAGATTTCATTTCTTGATATCAGGAGAGGAAGTGAGTAATTGTCCTGTTGCCTGTGAGTAATAAAGGACAAAAAAGAAGTAAGGAAACATTTGTTCAGTATCTGCTGTGTGCTAGATGCCCAACTTAATTTCTGGAGGTAAACAATTTGATTTTTAAATGTTGGCAATTTTTTAAAAAAACTGTTGGTAAATTTTTATGAGTGAAAGAGTTCAACTGCAAGTTTCAGAACTCTTTGAAATTTAAAAAAATGTTAAATTCTGCCCCTTTAAAAATATTTAAGTGGCACTTTAATCTGAAAGGGAAGGTTTTAATATTTATAAAAAGTTATGATACATATATACTTATGATAAATATATTATATAATATGTTAAAATATATAGTATAGTATAAATATAATATATACTTTAATACAATATGAATATATTATAATATATTGTATTAAGATAATATAATATAGTCATATATTATAATTGTGATTATATATTTTGCTGGTATAAAATATCTCCGGAAGGACAGGCAGCAGACTAGTAACACTGTATTGTTTTGGGGGGGGGAGGACCTAGGTGGCTGTGACACGAAGCGGGAGGGAGATATCACTGTATACTCTTTTGTGCTTTCCGAGTTTTGAATTATGGAAGTCGAAATCCCTATACATGTGTCACTGCCTCCATTCTGTGGCATTTGTGATAGCATTTTAAAAAATGTTTATTTACTTATTTTGAGAGAGAGAGAGAGAGAGAGCAAGCAGGGGAGGGACAGAGAGAGAGGGAGACACAGAATCCAAAGCAGGCTCCAGGCTCTCTGAGCTGTCAGCCCAGAGCCCGATGCAGGGCTTGAACCCACAAACTGTGAGATCATGAGCTGAGCTGGTCAGATGCTTAACCGACTGAGCCATCCAGGCGCCCCTTGATGGCATTTTTAAGATGCTTCGCAAATCATCCAGTGCGATGCCCACTCCTCCCTGTTTAAATTACATTATGTTGTCGATTTTCTGTGACCCTTCAATTGGTGATTGTCCCCATGAAACTTCTGGAGCCCCGTGCCTGGAATGGAGACAAAATGGGAAGGGGGGAGGGGAAAGAGATTTTCCTTCCTTTCCATCTCTCCTTTTTATTTCGTGATCCCCAAAGAATAGCTGATGCACAACAGACCCGGGAAGCTATAAGGGAGGGTGACCCCAGACCAGACTCTCCAGGGAAGCTGGTTGGAGCCCCCACCCCAGGCCCTGATGGGAGCTGCAGGGCAGCGGTCCAGGAGCCTACCTGGCAGCAGCCTGACTTGTTTTGTCAGAGTGGGGAGCTCCCAGCTGTCTGCCTCTGTACGTGACTCAGTGCCATCTGAACGTTACCAGGCCCAGCAAGTCTGTGCGGCAGAAATAGCAAGTGTTTGAGGCAGGGAAAGGTGGTATAAACAGACTGTGTCAGTTAGCTGCGGTTCTCTCTCGTGCGTACGCTAGTTCCCCTTCCCCCGTAATGTTTTTGTGACAACTGATACAGGTCCAAAATATCTCACTTGGCCGTGGCAGCCTGTCACCTGCTTCTCGCTTCCTCCACGCCTATCAGCTTTCCAAGTCGGCGTCGGTCAGCCTCTCCAGGTTCCGTGGACCGTGGGCTCATCGTTGCTTTGGTGGAGCCCAGTTGCTAAGCACAGCCCGAGAGCGGGCTCCTAGGCGAAATCTGCAAGGGGAAATAGGACTCTTCCTAGTAGCATAAAATTACCGTCTGAGCCTTGTAAGCACGCATTTTGGAACTGCCCTATGCTTGGTTCATCGGGAGCCCTCATTTTTATTTTTCAAGAATCCCTCACTTCGGCCCCAGTTTGGGGCATCTCCATCGGGTACTCGGGTACCCGATCGCTTGGGTTCAGGCGCTGGCTCTGTTACTTATAAAGCCGTATAACATTGGGTAAGCTCTCTGTGCCTTGGTTTCCTCTTTTCAAAAATGGAGACAGTATTGCTCACCTCACAGGATTGTTATATTATTGAGATATCGTGAAGGTCAAGTGCGGTGTCTGATACTTAAACACTTGGTCAGTATTAATTCTCATTCTCACTTCAGACTTCGTGACGCTTTGGCCGGCTTTGTTTGCTACTTGAGGTTCATTCAGGTAGAGGCCTGCTGTAAATTATTTAAAGTTTGTTTGTTTATTTTGAGAGAGAGAGAGAGAGACAAAAGGGTACACATGGAAGGGGCAGAGAGACAGGGAGAGAGAGAGAATCCCAAGGAGGCTCTGCACTGTCATCCCAGGGCCCAGTGTGGGGCTCGAACTCATGAACCATGAGATCATTCCCTGAGTCACAACCAAGAGACATTTGCTTAACCAACTGAGCCACCCAGGCACCCCTGTAATTTAAAACTGCATTAGGAGGGGCCTCTGGGTGGCTCAGTCGGTTAAGCATCCGACTTCGGCTCAGGTCATGATCTCAAGGTTCATGGGTTTGAGCCCCGCATTGGGCTCTGTGCTGACAGCTCAGAGCCTGGAGCCTGCTTCAGATTCTGTATCTCCCTCTCTCTCTCTGACCCTCCCCTGCTCATGCTGTCTGTCTGTCTGTCTCTCTCTCTCTCAGAAATAAATAAAACATTAACAAAATTTTAAAAAAATCTGCATTAGGATACAGTTAGTAGGGATGAGGAGCATTTGATTTTTTTGGTGGGTGAGCTAG